CGGTGTCCGAGGTGGAGTCTGCCACCGCACCTCTCGTTCTGGGGGCGCCTCAGTATCTGAGAACGCCGTGGCATCTGTCGAGGGTACGAAATCTTCAGATTTTATGGCGTGCAAGGTCTCGTCGAAGGGGGGCATTGAGGGTGACGGCGTACCGTGGACATTTCGTGTTTCGACGGGAGATGATGATATATATCCGGTGTCGGATTGTATGGCATGTATGGTATCATCAAAGGGGGGCGATGTTAGGCGACGAGTATTTCGCGTCTCGACAGGAGACGACGATATATACCCATCGCGGTGAGACGTTGGTGATCGCGCGGCAGGCGACGAGAAATAGGTTCCTTGATACCCATTTTCCTCCGCTTCTGAAAGTCGTGTGAGGAATGATTTTCCTGTCTTAAGCTTGGAAGGAGCAGAGGAGCGGATGTTTGTGTCTGGGCCATATCCTGGTAGCAGGGGAAGATGATACATCTGTAACAGGTGGTCAATGTATTTTACATAGCCTGGATAAAATTTGGGAAACGGGACTTACAACATACAGAGCCTCGTCAAAAACTCTGGGTCCGACATTATGTTCCCGTTTCAAAAACAAAGCTAAAAGCTTCATCTGAAACGATTCAGCAACGCAGTACGCCGTGATCCTCTTATACCCTGCCTCTTCCCTCTGCACCTTGCTCATCCGTTCTGCCTGGCTCTTATACTCCCGCACTCCAGCATCCGTCTCGTGCCCCAAAGTCAGATCTTCTTCTCCGTCCCCAGGAAGGGGTTTCGTTTGCGGGGCCGAAGGTAAGACGACCAGTTTCTGCGATGTTTTTGACGTCCGTTGTGCTTTAGGTCCACCTGACGTCAAGGATGCACGACGCGCCAGGATGGGTCGAGCATGTTCTTCTGCACCCCCGGCCGATGCAAGACGAGTTGGTGTTCGTCGTCGAATATTTGTGTTAGAGGGAAGCCTGGGTGGTTTGCGAGACGACATTGTTCAATATTCAATGACAGATTTGATGTGGTCACTCCGTAAGGGTAAAAAGGCGCCTAGGGCATGTAATTATCGTCTCCGCTCAAGTCGGAGCCGCCTCTTACCTTCTCCCACTACTACGACTTCATTCATTGCCTCGAAACATCCAAACAGGACCTACTTAGGGCATTAAAACGAAATAAATTGGGAGTGGGAATATACACCCAATATATGTATTCATGCCGAACCGAAAATCCTATCGACCAAGGGTCCATGTGTGTGGATTTTTTGGTATAAGGTAGTTCCCTAGTAGTGCAAATGTAGTGCATATAGATGTCACAATTTGAAGACGTTGCGACTACTCATTGCGGGTTACCCGCTCCATTCAAGCCTAGGTCAATATCCGATTACATCCTTCAAGCTCGGTTCTCGTCGCTCGAACCACACCTCCATTTTTACACCCACGACTTGCGAGCCAAATCACCAAATAAATAAGCTGTGCGCCAGGGGGTACCCACACACATAACAGTGGGGCAAGGGTGATGAACTTGTTAGATGAAGACATCCAACTATGATCGATCGCGCGACGTAGCTTCTCCACACCACCGTATCCGAAGAAATCCACACAAGGACTTGTTAGTATAACGGTGACACGTGCCTCGCAAGTGGATGTGTAAAAATCACCTCTAGGGTGAATTCTTTTTTTCGAGCCAGGCCATTCTTCGTCGTCAAGCTTCGGGCATCATATTTATCTACCCCATTCACCCTCCCCCCAACTCTCGGCCTCTCAACCAAGAGTCCAATCAGCCTTGATTAAGGGATAAGAGACTCGTATGGGTCTACAAAGTCAAGCCCTGGTGGAAGAGTGTTGCACGCCCCACAAAAGAGGAATATTGTAACTGTCTATCGCGGCAGGATTTCTGCTGAATCAATTCTCTCCATTAGACATCTTCATGCGACCTCCAAACCCCGTCTCTTTCTACACCCGAGAGCCAACCCCAAACACCATATCAATAAGCTGCATGTTAACGGTATTCATACATATAACCTTTTAGGTGAACACAGCAGACGTGGCACCAGAGCAGTGGAGAGGTCCAATTAGCACGTCTATGATTGAGGGCCCTGTTCTACCTGAGGCCAGAATTACGGACCAATCTCTTTTGTTTCATAGTTGGACCACACTTGTGGTCTACTGTGTTCTGGATTTTTTGGGGGAAATCAGTTTCCTGATACTTGACATCGGGTTTCTTCAGGCCCGTGGTATATATCGTACGGCCCGGTAACCGCCAGGTACGGTTCAGCTTAAATCTTTACCACACGGCCAACATATCAATCACCTCACTATGACCCCCAATCGTTGTGGTTCGAAGTATCAATATGTACTAGCCATCACACGACCTGTTATGCAATGACGTGTTTCAGCCAACCCCGAGATTGGGAATGGAATGACAAACCTCATCAAACAACTACTCTCGTCGTCGCGTTAGGAGGTCGAAAAAGCCACACCTTGGGCTCCTCAAAACATAATATAAAATTGGGACCAGTTGGAACACGACAACATTTCCAACTCTATTGGTATTCATAGTCTTTGTTCTACCCCTGGTCGGACCAATAACTTATCGTGCCCAAACTGAAGGTGTCCGTTGATGCATATCACCTATTAGATGCTTCAGTGTCTCCATACATCAATCGCCCATAATTAAATTTCCCACAAATGCGTAGAATCTGCAGGCGAGTACTCTACTTTTGGTCACTGGATCCAATGATTTACCGTTTCCGGGATCTAGCGCGTAAAAACATATAACAGGTTTGCAAGGTTTTTCCTTCATCAAACATAGCACTGATATACTCGTGTCAAGATCTTTGTCAGATGGCCTCGAGTCATCGTACATATTTCAAGTGGCTTCTAGAGCAGCGTCGAATCTTGCTTTAACTACTTTCCTTCCTGGCCCCAGAACAAGAAGCGCCCATCACCCAATCTATGACTGAGTACACCGTGCCTCAGCCTTTGGAGCACTCTTGGATCGAGTGTGTATACTAACTCTACATAATCATGACTTATAACCAAACTAATTTCATCGTCAACGCAGTGTAGTGATACTTGTAAAACCCCTCCTCGTTATTCATCATGCAGTGCTGATCTCCTTCGAGAGCACAACCTTGACATCCTTCATCGTCCTCTTATACGACCATATTCTGACGATTGGAGATGAGGTCGCGTGCTCAGTTTATTCCTTGATGTCGCAGATGCTAAACTAGTACTGTTATCCAGATAAAATATATTTGGGGGAGAAAGTTTACAGTTAGTAAGTCCACCATTTTTATTTTAATTAACCCGACCCTCAACCAAGAGTCCAGTCAGTGTCCTATTCCTGTTGAATAGATATTTTACACTCTTCTCAATGAGTACCTATTTGGTTGCCTTGACCTCAACACCAATGACCTCTGTTGATGGTACCACGCCGAAAAATCCAACGAATGTGGGCACATCATTTTGTTTTCAGTTCTCCACATGCTGAATAATGTTTGATCAGATGTTTGTTTTCATCTCTTTGGAAAAGATATTTGCCTGGCTGATCGCCGTACCACCCAACTTAACAGCCATCCGATCGAAGTCATCGTGGTTTTTTCCATCGTTTCGGTATTAATCGCAGAAATGGTGTTGATCATGAGGTTCGTGTGAATTCCAGTTAATAATACCTAGATTTTTTTGACAAGATTACACCGCTCAAAGGGTCTCTGCCGTTTTTCGAAATAACAAATTTATTATTGCATTCTTAATATTCTTATGGATCGCTCACTTAATAATGATGATCGTTCAAGTGACCATGGAATGTAAGTACTGGTTGTCACGCTCTATGCCCCCAATTAATTATTATTTACGACCAGCATCAGTATATATTTCCAAGGAAAGTATTTCGCAAATTTCATATTTAGGGTGCGTCTGATCCTTTTTTTTCTACATCCAATTCAGCCTTGAATTTTAGACAATCTGCGGGCCTGATATTTGTCGTTCCTGCTGTGGTGTTTGATACCGTCGTCGGAATCCTCTTGGCTTCGGGTGTATATCGAAGTTCGGGCCGATTTCGAGATCATATGCCGTTGGCGAGTCTGCTTATTAGAGACGGAATACTTTATTTTTTGGTCGTGTTTGCGAGTAACATCACATGGATCTTAACCCAAGTCTTCCTCCAGAAACAAATGGGACCACATAGTGTGAGTGGGCCGTTACCTCATTACCCTCTTCGCTGAAAATCGGCATAATTCCCAGGTTCTCCGAGAGAGCGATTTGACTCCATTAGAAATGTCAGACATCATTTTTTTAATAGTACATCAGTACTCTTTACTAATCTTTGATATCAGTTGGTCGGCATGGTGTGCCTCACATGTGCATTTTAATGTCGGCCCGTTTTAACATAAAATTTCACAGCATAACCACAACAATGATCGGCCGTTTGACATTAAATATACGGGAATACAATCCCTCAGGCGATGAAGAACCTTCATTAACCCGGTTGAGATTTCGAAAGGAGGCCTTTCAGTCAACCACCGAGTCTGAATCAGCCATTGACGACAAATGAATTCAGACGACGCCTGATACACCAAAGCAACGAATGCGGGTTTACCAAGGAGACTCACTGGATGGGCTAAAGTATGTATCGTGAAGGTTCTGAATAGCGATGAAAACTCCTCCTCGGGCCTGTAGCGGTGGCGTGGATACTTTTTTATGAACGAGAAATTTTCATGGAAGCGCACCTTGAAGGTCCTGGGCTAGGTTTCTTCTAAGCATCACAGATATTCTGCTGTGTTTTTCCTCTCAACAGAATCAAGTAAATAAATGCCTCCGCGCCGGAAAGGAAAACCTAATCGTGTTTCCGAAATATATCTCTTCCCTTTTGATTTATTGCAGTGCCATGCCTTTTGAAGCTCACACCAAGGGCGAGTGATCGCCATCCAGACGGCCAGGATTTATGAGTTCTTCAGACCCGTCCAGTTGGAGGCAGAACAGAGGCCTCGAGCACACAAATCTTAATATTCCAATCAGGACCTGGTGGTGCAATGGTAACATACGCCCCACAAGTATGTGGGTTTGGTAAACTTATCGGGGCAGGGTCCCTGTTCAATTCAGGGCCAGGTCACTTATATCCTGTGGCGACTTCAAGAATTTTTATTCAAATCCCCAACGATAATCCGCACCTCCATTTCCATGATTGAGTGACGAGCCTTTGGTCAACGAGAGGCGCACTAGTGACCCGAGACCGCAGTTTCCCTCTGTTGTATGCATTCCGATTTCCCCACCCCACCTATCAACAACTTTAATATGGAACAGAAGCAATACACAAAAAGACCTGGTAGTATAATGGTAATACACCCCTTGCAAATAAAAGAGCACGAAAGAGTGTCAAAACTGCTTGGGGACACTCCCCGTTCGATTCAGGGCCAGGTCATGAACTTGGCATATTTTCTTTCATCAACACATACAGTCTTTACTTCGCAGTTCAGCAACACACAATTTAAAAACGGGGGACCACGACTCCACAGAAGGATCAAATAAGATACCTGTAAGTAATCCTCCACTCATAATGAAATGGTATCAATAACCAATAAGGGCCTGGTGGTGTGGCGGTAACACGGCTCCGCGCAAGAGCTATGACCCGAGAAAGGAAAAGAGCTTCGCGCGGTATTCCTGTTCGAACCAGGGCCAGGCCATGTGCCCGTTCCTCATCGACGAAAAGTTTTTGTACACAAGTTACACAACTGGTTTTTCTTCCAGTCACCTCGATACATTTATGCTTTAATACAGTTTTAATCCTCCTGCGAAGACTTTGGGATCCATCATCTCAAGACCTGCTCACGCTAGAGTCTCGAACTCTCGAAGACCCTAAAAGAAAGAAGGATCACTTACCAAAGACCGTTAACCCAAATATCCTTAGTTCAAAAGAAGCCAACCCACAGTGCGACCTGGTAGTGTAACGGTAACATATCTCTCACAAATGTATGAAACTATCCATTAAGGTTGGAGTATCCCCTGTTCGACTCAGGGCCAGGTCGTTCGTATTATAGTTTGAGGCTAAAATTTTTGATTCCAGGTCAGAGGTTTCTACTACCCACCTTATTCAAACATTATGCATATTACTATCACCAATGTGACCAAATCTACCATCTCAACCGCAAGACCTAGCACCTACCCCAGTCCCAAACCATCAAAGACCCAAGCCCGAGAGTTCAAATTCCTTTATATCATCCAAGTGTACCTACAGAAAGAAAGGAAAAACAAATCGCGTAAACCACAAAAGAAGAAAAAAAAAAAGGACAGCAAGAAAAGCATCATGATCACGCAACCATAAATACGTAGGCAGGGGGGAGACGTACAGTAAACTAAGTAGCAAACGAGGGGAACGAGCGAGTCCTTCTAGGTGTGCTCTGCGTGTAGCGGGTGTATGGTAATGTAGTAACTTAGGGCTATATATATAATGCGGAGATGGCAGGGGATGGTCAGGATGCTGGAGTGCTATAACAGGGGAGGGTTGGGGACAATAATGGAGCCACGGCGACAGGGCATGATAGCGGGTAGTAGCCGACAGCAAAGGGGAGTGGGTGAGTGTAAGGGTAAGAGTAAAGTCTACCAATGAGCAGGGTAAAAGGAGAGTTCAAGTCCGATGTGCAATTCTACACACGTCCACTCTGCCGGCGGACGTGTTTTGTCTTCATTTTTTGGAATTCATCTTTCCCCCCCTACTACTTCCCACCTGATGTCTTGAATAGTATGAGCCCTCCGAGCGCGATCGAGTACCCTACATGGACATTCATGAACATATGTCCGGCTATAGACGGACTTCCGACACATACCAAATATTTGTAGTCTCGTAACAGGCGAGCCGAAGATGAGTACGGAGCCAGTGATCAACAAGATGTCCTGTCGAAGAATGTATCATCAGTATACATTCGGGCGTCGATCCGTCAGTCCCACGTCACGCCACTTCGGAGGCAAGGTGGGAAACCCGATACGGATATATTAAACGGATCGTACCTTAAACACACCAGCAAGGGTTAGCACGAGGCCGCTGCCGACACCGACCAGGAACACAGCGGCAACGTTGAGGAGGAATGCGACTGCGGCGTTAGAGAAGAGAATTGCGGGGCCGAGTGTATGGAGGGCGTAGAAGGGCGCGAGGCCTTCTGTAAAGGGGATAATCGCAAGGTTGATCGCAGCGCAGACGGGGGCGTAGTAATGTAGTGATACGAGCGGGTCCATTTTGAGGTTGTGTAGAAGGATCTGGATGAGCACGAGGCGTGAGGCCTCAAACTAAAGCCATGAATTGATTAGCATTTGTAACTATGAATGGAGGGAATATCACGAACCATGACGGCGGCGGCTTGGACGAGGAAGCCTCCGAGATGGAAACGGAGCTCTCCATGCGACGCGAGGGCGACTCCGGTAGAGATCATGACTACGATGATAGCGAGCTTCTTTGAGGGCTCCTGCAGACGGAAGACCCACGAGATGAGTAAGATAGACACTGGTGTGAATGCCTATGAGGTAGGTTAGCCAAGAATACCAAGCATTCAAGTCGAGCATTGCAGCCCAACGGCGGGCAGTTGACACATACCTTGAGCATCTGGATATAGGACACGCTGAGGTAGAGGTAGGCTGTGTTACTGAGAATCAGGGAGCCCGAGAAGAGGATACCGATGGGGAGAATGCTCTTGACGAACATTGCACGGTCCATACGGACATCCTTGGCGCCGTCAAGCAGCCGCGTCGTGCGCTGCAGCACGCGAGTGCCGACTGCTGCAAAGAATAGATGCCACGTAACGAGGAAGACAGGGAAGCGGAAGTTAAGAGTGTTATACAGATAGTTGTTGTAGATGATAACCGCCGAGGACAGCACTATCCACACTGGAATGATCCCCGCCGCCGAGAGCGACGTAGGCGTGCGGCCCTTTGACGTCGTAGCAGACGCTGGTGCAGGCAGCGGCGACGGCGCCGATGGGGAATGGCGTTCAATCATCTCGAGGGTCTTTCCGTCGGACATGGCGGCGGGGAAGGCGGGGAAAAAGAGGGGAGGGAAGAGAAAGGGTGCAAAATGTAAAATGAAGAAAAAGGAAGAAAGAGAGCGTCTATTTTGGGACACGTGTTGAAGCGGTGACTTGATTCCGTTATTTGTGTTTGTTTAGGTGTCCCTCTCCAGTCCCTCCGCCATCGCCATGTCCAGCCTCCAGGGCTACGTCGACCGCCGCGTCCTCCTCATCCTCCAAGACGGCCGCGCCATCGTCGTCCGTATCCTCGCGCCTCATCCCTCGTTACCCTAATCATATTTTCACAGGGCACCATGGCCGGCTACGACCAAAAGTCGAACGTCGTTCTCTCCGACTCCAAAGAGCGCGTCTATAGTATCGACGAGGGCGTCGAGGAGATCCCTCTTGGTCTTTACCTTGTCAAAGGCGATATGGTGTACGTCCCCCTTTTCGCTTATCCTACCGTTGGCGCGATTAACCAATCCACCTCCCCCCTACAGCGTCCTCATTGGCGAGATCGATGAAGTCCTGGACCAAGCCGTCGACCTCGCCACCGTGCGCGCAGAGCCAATTATGCCTATCCGCTATTGATTCGTTTTCGATCGGTTGCGGAGGAGAGGAGGCGTTGGGCCCGTAGAGACAATCTGCGCGTGAAAAAAAAAGTTGTCTCGGGTAGAAAAGTGGATCGATTGGCTTTGAAAAATCCATCAACCCGCGAGTAAAGTGGTGGATAACGAAGAACTTCAATTCCACGATAACGTCCCAAAAGGATTAGTGGCGAGTCCGTAGGTGTGCTGGCCTTTGTGCGCTCTTCGATCAAGTTGGATCGGACGCTACAAAGGGATCTAAGGGCATCCGAAGTCCATTGGCGCAATAGAAATCTGTTGAGGAGTGGACAGGATAGTATTGACTTGGAGTGGCTACAAGTAAATGCGGTGGGGTGTGATCCAATCAGAAACAACAACCATGGTTGACTTTTCGCTTTTGATTTTTCCATCTAATACCGAAATACAACGTGTGTACCCTGTTCTCCGAACCCCTGATACATCTTCTTCCTTCCAGATCTTTTCCTACCTACAAAACATCTTTCATCATCAAGTTCCCTACAAGTTCCTAATAAAAGCATTCCCACTTTACACAAATTACTTGATCGCTCGCAAAATTCTTGTCTTCAAATGCACAGCACTCAAACCATACTCTCTTATCACTTCATAGGCCACAGAATTTTAATTTGTGATTAACAAGGCCTAATCCGGCTCAGCCGAACAAGTATCCTGTTCGCCACACGCACCACCTCGTAAGCATGCACTTCTCCTACGTTAATTTACATTGAACCACCCTTTCCATATTTCTAGGTTTGGCCTGGAGACGGCCAAAAAATAATGATGTAAAATACACACATACTCATGACCTATTCCTGAGTCGAACGGGGAATCTGCCAGGCTGATCTGGGTCAAAAACTCAACCAGTTACCAATCGCTGGACGCGTGCCACCGTTGCACTACTAGGCTTTCCTAATAACGGCCTTCAAAATAATATGAAACATCCCAAATTATTATCAAATTCTCGGTACCCAAGGCCGCGCCACATGCTGGTCTCGGTAAGGGACTCTGGCACTGTGAAAATGTATATGCCAATTTCCATAGAGTATGCACTAGTCCGGGATCGAATATATACCCTGGGGGTCGTCCCCATGTAACCGTGAGTCGGAGTTTCGTGAACACTTCCGTTACGCCATCAGGTCCTTCTTTAAGGTTAGGCTCCCCCCATTCCACCCAGTTGCCAAATAAATCTAGGCCCAAGTTTCAGCGAATACACATAGGGGTGATGATCCTTCGTATGTAAATGGAGTCAAATTCCCCACAAACTCACGCGTTACTCAGAGAAAACAAGGAACAGAACGCAAAGCAGTTACAAAAGATCACGATAACAGGCCTCCACTAATACGCTAACCTCGACTTGAACAGGGATCTTAGGGTCTGCCACATTCGTCAGCATATTCCAATCCTGGATATCAACAACTCCGCTCACTAGCTCGACTTGTACCACCGCGAAGTCCATTCTAAAAAACCAGCGATGTGGTCTAAAGCATATTAGTCGACTGTGTCCAGAGGTTCTCATTATTCGAAATCGCACGATATCTCGCGGCTATAGGATATATACCAAGATAGGGGAGGTAAATGTCCACACGTGCAGTCGACCTCTCCAAAGGGGTGTAGTCTGATATTCCAGTCACGGCCAATCTTAAAGCCTGATGCATGTGTACACACAACACACCTTCCCACCTCCTTGAGCTCTCAAACGATGAATATACTCTGGTTTGCACTTCCCTTCACCCGTTTCGCTTTCGGGAAGCTGTCCTGTCGGTGCCTTTATGGGGAGAAATGTTGGCCAAAAGTAAAAGATTTCTCCGACTTGGCTTCCCAGCTCTCCCAACCCCTTCTCCATCCGAAACCTCCAGGTTCGGCTTGTTATCCTCCCGATAGCCCTTCAGAAAACTGCTCGAAGGTGATGGTGAATATGCATAACAGCCACTGGAGGTCTGATCAATCTGGGTCCATGCAAGCCCCCAACTTTGAGACGCATACGTTCCTTAATGGGACCATCAGTGCGTGCTATATAGACACCATGCCGAGTTTCCCGTGTACCCAAGGAAGTATCCCCGAGATCGGTGTGGATGCGCGTTCTATTCAGGATGTTCAAGCTGCTGTCAAATTTTCTTTAAAGCATACTTTACGGTTGGTGATCAAGAACACTGGGTGGGTCTAGTATTTCTTGACATCCTGGTGGACCTTACGCGTTTTATTCCTAGACATGATTATCTCGGGCGGAGTACGGCTCGTGGAGGGTTCCTACTATGGATGCATAACCTTAAGAACATTACTTACAATCTGGCCTTCGTTCCTTCAGGTGCACCTCCTGACAGGTATTACCAAGGTGAATAATTATACCCTTACTCTCTTTTCCAGAAGCTGAACTTTTTATTTAGCTTTGACCGTTGGCGCTGGGGTCCAATGGCACGAAGCCTATGA